AAAATTTCATGCTCGATCGGTGCAGAACTTTTTGAGTTTTTGAAGCGTACACAAACCAACATAACATTTTTATATATATGTATAATGTAGATACATTAGTATACCAACCCTTATTAATATGGTACACCCGGAGATAACGTAATGAATACTAATTATAATGAGCGATATCAGCATCACACGTCTACCAATTTACTGCAAACAGTTATTTGTGTTACATGGAGGCGAACTAAATTGATCCTAATGAGAAAAGTCATTAATCATCAATGTTTATTACACATGTCGCGCACAACCACTTTCTGGAGCAAGCTGCAGCAGCAGTCGAGGAATTGCCGTGAAGCAAATTGGGAAGATTAAAAAGCCTGAAGATGGGTACCTCACGAATTGACGGAAGCAAACCGGCAAACGCGCGTCGACTGCTTCGTTACATTACTGAACCGGCACAATAATGAAGGTATTTTAAACCTAATCATTACCTGTGATGAAAAATGGATTCTTTAGGATAATCGGAAGCGCTCAGCGGAATGGTTGGATCCTGGCCAGCCAGCCAAATCCTGCTCCAAGCGAAAATTAACCACAAAAAATTTACTTGTAAGCGTTTGGTGGACTAGTGCCGGTATTGTTCATTGCAGTTTCCTCAAATCTGGCCAGACTATTACGGCTGATGTCTATTGTCAGCAATTGCAAACCATGATGGAAAAGCTAGCGGCTAAACAACCTAGGCTGGTCAATCGCTCCACGCCACTGCTACTTCACGAGAACGCTAGACCACATACTGCACAACAGACGGCTACCAAATTAGAAGAGCTTCAATTGGAATGTCTAAGACATCCTCCGTACTCCCCGGACCTTGCTCCAACAGATTACCATTTTTTTCGAAATTTGGAAAACTTCTTGCAAGGGAAAAAAATTAACTCTGATGGGGCAGTCCAAATCGCCTTCACAGATTTTATTGATTCCCGTCCGACTGTTTTTTTTAGTAAAGGGATCAATGAACTACCTATGAGATGGCAAAAGTGCATAGAAAACAATGGTTCATACTTTGATTAATTAAATATATTATATTTTAAAAATATTCGACTTTTTGTTACTCCCATACAAAACGCCAATTTCATATGTAAGGACCTAATATAAAGCTAATGTTTCCTTTTTTTTAATATTCAAATGTATGACCCCCGAGATGTTCCTTTAAACGCGGAAATAGGTAGTAAACACTAGGTCCGGTGAATATGGAGAATGTTTCAAAAATTCGAAGCCTGTTTCTCTAATGGCAGGACTTAACTTGGTGCAGCAAAAAAGCTTTAGCGAGTTGGCCACGCAGCTCCTTGCGTATTTACTCACGCAACTTTGTTATTAATTGTCCTGCGTACAATTATCGTATTCGATCGATCATATATATAAACCGCCCCTTGGCTGTCTGACAATACAGCCCGCGATCTTACCGGTGGATGGAATGTCCTTTAATTTCTTCGGAGTTATCTTCCAAGTTATGGACTGTTTTTTAGTTTCTGGGTCATGTTTAGTCCATTGTTATGAATCGAGCAAAAAATCGGTAAAGCTTTGTCAAACTCGACTCGTCTGTTTTCGAAGCATTCTGGGCACCCAGCGTTCTTACACTTTTTTCATACCTAGAAATCTTAATATCTTCTAAAATACGACGATCCGCCAAGACAATATTTATTAATTCACCACCGAGGTAGGGCATTTATCAATATTTAAGAACACGTTCCGAAACGACACAAACAAATGTCATCTAATTGTAAAAACAAAAGATAATTAAGTGATTTTTAAATTATTATTATAATATCTAATGTCTGGACTATGCCTGCCTGTATTGCATTATCACCATTTATAGAACACCACTCGTAAAAGCGTAATTTAAACTGGGTTTAATTGCTAAATAGACATCTATTTAAATCACAATCAAACCACGTACCAACAATTATTATTATTAACGTTTTTTTAATAATAAATTTGAAAATAGAATAACTTATAACGATTTTTGGGTGTTGTTCATTCGAGTCACGACAAGAATGGAACTTTTGACGTAATTTAAGAATTGTCACTTTCCTTTAGCTATGCCTATGTATAACTAATACTACCACCTTGCCGTCTCGTGTCTATAATAAAGTGTTCTCTCATTCCAACGCAGACAAACAGAACGAGCTGGTTACTAATTAAAAATTCTAAAAACAAAGAGAAGCCTGAGTATCGTACGATAAGTGCCTGGGGGTAGGTCCTTCCCTCGCGTTCGAAATTCAAATTCAAGTGGTACAGTCGCCAACGAACTTTTGTTCGTCCTCTAAAGCCGTTTAAAGTAAAGATTACATTGTTTGTTGATCAGGCAAAACTGATCACTATGGAGAATGTGACTTTTTCCACTTGCAACGCGTCTGCAAACCAGATGCAACGAACGCAAACAGTAAAGCTATTGTCTACGGAAATAAAGGTCGAAATAATGTATCGTAAGTACAAGAGTACACAATGTGGAAATGTTAATTTACATGAGTTTTACAATTGACACACACGGCGACTGCATACCGATGTCGTCTTTTGTCACGCCGCTGTCTCGAGTCGAAGAATGCATTTAGGCTTTTCAAACTAAGAGCGGGATGGACTTTGGCCAACCTTTGAAGCGCGTGTCGTTCTGCAGTCAGCATTATATATTTACTTCCTGATAGCTATAAATGAATGAAAGTAATGTACTCGTCGAAATAGATAATATATAGAAAAGGGCACACACGACACAATGCATGGAAATAATAATTAACGTGTGCTTCATGTCAGTTCCTATACTGTACGAAATAGATAGTCTTTTTGTAAATAATTTGTAATTTTTTACGGAATGTCACGAAGATGTGCAGCGTTTTTGTCGAAGGGATAGAGCGATTGAGACCGATTGATAGAGAGTGAGATGGGCGAATTACCTTATAGAAATTATATTTATAAAATTAAAATTTCGTAAAGAGAATTTATAAAATATTTAAAGCATTTTATATTTTATGCAATCTAATTTACTGAAATCTCAAACTAAGAATTATAAATTAAAATACCACGTGTTTTATTATCGAAGAAATAAATTTAAAAAAAATATAATTTGTATTAATTTTCGACACTTAATATTTTAATGACAATTAAATTCATTAAATTCCTAACATATTATCTTCCTTTTTCCCTCCCTTAAGTCTCGGGAATCTAAAGTTTTAGATTTGTATAAATTGTATGAACAAGACTCAAAAATTAGTTTACCAAAGAAGTTATTGTGTATTTTGTACGCACACACTTTTTATTTTCTATGTGTATGTATATTATGATGTAAATATAAATAACTACCGCGTTGGTGTAATCTGTAAGGGTAGCTTATTTTGTTGTTAAATAAATATAAAAAAAGATAATATTTTTATTACCGCAGAATTACTCGAAAAGATATCATATGCCTTTATGACATTACATTGCTTTTTATAACAATTTCTTAAACTATTTGTGGTTTAATAATGATTCAGTCGCTTAAGTCGTTGAATTTTATTCAAACATTACGATTGTTAGGATAAGTGTCCTGAATCTATTCTGCTTTGTTTAACAACGGACAGTTCTATAATAAAACTCAAGTAAGTGCCAGGGTTTCTATTTTCTTATATACGTAAGTGTAAAGTAGCGATTCGTTGTCAATTGATAACGCTCGTGACAGCTTAATATATATTTTATTTAATACAACCAATGAACTGATCACGCGTAAATATATTTCAAATAAAGCAAATACTATTCCTATACACAGCGTAACAACACATTAAAAAGTTTTCTACTAATCTAAGCAAGGTACTATTAAAAATGTCATCATTGTCGTAATCGCGAGCACGTGCGTGCATTTCCACGATACTTCCTTAATATGCTTATTCATCCGTAACTCTATCGCTAACACACGGTTGAAATCCAAATACATATCATTTCCTTCGACCATCAAATTGTAATATTATTGAGTGGGAATAACACGAATTACCGGTTAAATAATATATTTTAGATAAACTTAGTTAGCAAAAGTATTATAGCTTAGGAACTGCGTCTGGACGAGGCGTAGGCGAGATCTGTGGGCCGCGTCAAATTAATAGCAAAGCGTTAAAACACCCAACTTTATATTTCGGATATTCTAGCTTTACGAAATCTCATATGTAGGCGTCAATGTCCTTGTGTCAAAATTTGTTTCACATATCGCGACCTAACACAGATATTAAAAGATAGTTTTTTAATCTTTATAAGAATAAAACAATTCAGTGCCGCTATTACTTCACATAATTCCGAGACAAGAAACATTTTTCCTGCTTTCTATAAACGCCGCTGTTTTTGTAACAAAATCGATTTGTTTACGTGCATCGACCGTTACGATTCCATATCGATTATGCCCTCAATCGATTTCGAATTACTTTAGCACATTACGAATTAATATATGACACGCTAGCCGCATACTTTGCTAGCGTCGGATATAATGAGGACACCGGCTCCTATGCATATTATCAATAGATCTATCGATAAGGCAAAATCTCAAGAGCCCACATCTTTGTACCACTAATTTCCAAGTAATAAAGCTATACATTCCCGAGAAATCGCTTCGATTCCGTACGTATTAGATAATATACTTGGAACTCAATACGTACACGAGATTTCCTCTCGTTCGAGCAAAAAGTTCATTGCACTTTGACTATTCAATTCCTAGCATCGTGAATTTCATCCGAACAAGTCGTGATTTGAACCACTTTTTTATGAATAGCTTACTTGTTTAGCGAGAGTTTGAGACTGTTTCGGCTACAATAGTACCTCGTTTAATACATCTCTTTGACCTAGGGTTTGGCCAAGCCTAAAGTATTAATATCTCTAGATAAAGACCATAGACCATACGTGTTTTTTCCTGTCCATCGTACCGGCGTCAATTAAAAGACATTGTTGTATTATTTAAGTCAAACGATTCTTGAAACATGAATTTCATGGCACAAATCGCCTATTAAAGAGACATGTCATTAGTCCTTGACATGTGTCAAACGTTGGACATCCAAGATGGCCGTGTCCCACTTCGTCTTATTTGTTTATTATTTAGAGTGAACATTCCAGGTAGTGCCGTTGGATAAATACTTAACAGTTGTGCTGTCAAACTTATTCTGTTTCTTACCTAAATACTTAATATAATCGAAAATACAGTGCAAGGAAGCACGGAGTGATATTCTCTTATTAATATGACATATATAGAATATAAACCATTATATTGTCATTCGAATTATGTTTTTTTTTGTTTTTGATCTTTGTTTTTAATCTTTCGCCGCTGAGCCATATATTAGAATCCGCTCAATAATAAATCGAGCATTCTCTTTCACAAACAACTCAGCACTAAGTCACGTAATCGTTACGGCAGTGTCGCAGATTTGACAATTTTCCTTTTGGTTACTTCCGGTTTACTGCTAATATTATTGAACTAGTAATAAAATTTTTGTTTACATTTGATGAAAATATGGAAAACCATTGGCGCTATGGGACTCCAATGCGTATACGCGATGCTTAAATAAGTCTTTTTCACGAATTGCTTTTGTACGAACATTAGTATTATAATAACAGACAGAATTTCTTCAGTGTATTGCCAATAGACATATAGCTCGCAGAGGTCCCGATAACTTAGATAAGATTGTGGTGACCGGTAGAGTGGATATCACGAGACCCCAAAGCCGATTCCATACTCTATGGACCGACGAAGTAAAGCTTACAGGCCTTAATATTACACAGCGGCGGAGGCTTGACGGGGAAATGGGGCAAGATATGCGACACCAACTCGACCTTCAGTAATGAAGAACGCGACTTATGAAGAAGGACAAACAGAAACAAAACAGCTTTTACTGCATGCGTGTGCATTATTAAATAGACAGCATCTCACAACGTTACTACTTCGACTGTCATCATAACCAAGGCCTTTTGAAGCTAACGTAACAAGATTGGAATAAGAATTTTAAATTAGGGTTACTATAAACACATGTACCACTTATTACGTTCATCTACTAATCTAGAAGCTTTAAAAATAGTCACATGTTATGACTCGACGCAACCGGTAACAGTGAGTACACTGAGTAGGTTTCATAAGTTTACGGTAGCGCAGCCAAGCCTAACGAGGAATAAAGGCCACAGGCTAATACACCCATTTCTCTGTCTCGATTGTGTGTACACAATTTTGCTTGTGCTTTAAAGGATTTCCTCGCAATAAAAGTATAACGAAACCATCGGTTCAACCATTGCCATCCTTGAGTTAATATTAGGGAAATACTCCTGTCAACGAAGACATCAGCTGGTCGGGCTCTTACCGACTATAATTCATGCAGTTAATCTTAACAAGCTCTGCCATTTGCGATCGTATCGTTGCGTTGTTAAGCTGCAATGTTAATCATGGGGAATTTTGTAATAATTCCGTTTGTGGTATTGGACAAGCTATCTTCGATATTATTCAAAGCTACGCTGCACCATTAAACGATAAAACTAAGGCAAAAATCCAATCTCAGATTTCATACTAATTCTCGCAATGGAGCGGTAAGTATTGATATCTTTAGCTGTAAACCGCATTGTGCTTGCTTTCACAAAAAGCGCCGACACCTCATGCCAGTCGATAATACATTCCCATAGACTACTTATTTTACACTACATATTTTTCCGCAAGTTCTAATAAATCATTTATAAAAGAGATCCCATGCAGGCAACGCCAGGGGCTATATTTAAATTGATCTTGAAGCCCTTGATGAATGAATTTCTGTACAAACTTGAGAAAGGGTAATCGTACACTTTAAGATTGGTTAGTTGATATCTTACTGTTATACAACGATACACGTCGACACCACCGCAGCCCGACAGACCGCAATGGATCTTATGTATGAGTTTGTGATGCGTTCACAAGCGTTATGATATATATATAACGGATTCTATTTATCTGATGGATTCAAAAGAATTGGTGTTTCTACGGACACATCTCATCATTTGGGTTACGCTTACCTATTCTTTATGGTCGACGAATCAGAATTCGTTACATGTCACACAAAGTCAATGGAAGATGATGAAATTACAAAACGTAACATAATTTCAAATTAGGAAACAAATTCCCATAACCGACCTTACTGCAAAGGATACTTATATAATAAAAAATCCACGTCAGGAAGACGGTAAAATCTAGCTTTTCTGTTAGAAGTAGTGTTGCCCAAAATCGGTCTTGGTCTTGTTCTTGCATTTTCGCAATACCAAGACCAAGACTGAAGCATGCAAGACTTGAGCAAGACAATACTTAAGCCTGCAAGACTCTTGCGTCTTGCAGTTAAGACAAACTGAGATTTGGGCGTTATTAAGTAGGTATTTGGTTTCAATCCCGATTTTGAGAGACGTTCCCCAGTATCAAAACCGTTGGTATCGTCTGATAGGATAGCCCGCGAAACTCAATTTTTTTTTTGCAATTTGCAGGCTAGTGCTAGATTGTTGATTAAAATATTATTCGCGCTGTAAGACGTATGTAGTTACAGAGTCAAATACATACGTCTTACAGCGCGAATCATAATCTAAAATCTAAACTAACGTGTTCAATAAACAGCAATAGGCTAATGGTATTTGCAAGTCTTGCGAGACTATTGACGCAAGACCAATACCAAGACTGGCCTAGGTCTCGTCTTGGTCTTGCATTTGGGCAACACTAGTTAGAAGTATAGTAGCAAAGTCCTTTTTGAATAACGAGTGCTTTTTAACCGCATTCATACATTTTTAAAAGCACTAACCAGTTATGTACGCACTTGCTTCTTTTAACGACACGGAACAAAAAGAACTTTTAAACGCAACGACTTTTAATAAAGCAAGAGCCACTAGTATTTTATATTCTAAACTATTTAAATTGTAATCAAAAATTACGTATTCATTGAAAAAAAACCAATAAACATATCAATGATGTCCGAAATTCTGAGGCGGTCTTTTTAATAGAAAGTATCAAGGCCACATTTCCAGGCAATAACACGAGGCTTACATGAGCCATAAACAAACAGAGGATTATCAAATTTGTTTGGCGCGTCCTTCTAGATGTAAACAAAGCACAAAAAGTTTATTTATATCCGTCGTCTAGCAACTCGAAGTCACAGAAAAATAAACATTCCCTTATATTAAGAACCATACTGATTTATGGTTACCTAAATAAACATGTTTTATTATGAAGCTCAAACGGCTATAAAGTTGACGTATCTCAGGGCGATGACTCCCTTTTCAATGTTTTCCTTGAGTTTTGAAGCTATATGATTCTGGGAGCATTCTTTTAGAGCGTAACTGATTCTGGCTATCACTAGACTTTTCTTCAAGTTTCCGAAATGTCTGCTGAGATAAGTAGATTTGCGAAATTTTCTTTGCTTACTTCCAACTAAACTTCTCGTCGTGAGAAAAACATCACTAAGAGCAAAGTTAACTGTTAAACACTGAAAAAGGGTAAATTGAAGTAATCCAAACTTAAAATTCGCTCTAACTGGGTCAAGCGGCAGACGATTATTACGAAAACTGGAATAGTAATGAGCGTTAAAGAACAAATTTTATGATCTTCATTTTGGTTTAGTCTGTTGTTACAGCGGGCGGACGAATTGAGAAATTGAAAAAGTGCAACACCCGGAAGAGCTCAACTTTTCAAAAAATGTTAAACATTATGTACAACCTAAAAATTAAAAACACAAATTTTCAAAAACAAATACTGGAAGATTAATAAAATCATAAGCCGATGCAGTATCTCGTTTTACTAGGACAAGGCCGTTCCGCGCGAATGGAGAGCTTCATGAATTACGAGGGCCAGTTGCCAAAACGCAAATTTAAGGAGCTTCAGCCCCTGAATAAATAGATTTAAGTTCAAAAACTTCAGAATGTTTTTAACATAATTATTTATATCCGAACAAACTAAACATTTATTTCTCTTAATAATTTAACATGAATACACTTTCAGGGCAGAAGATCAGTTCAACGTGTTCATACGATTCTTAAATAAAGGGAAGGTTAGGCCGAGCAAAATGCAAACCAGGCCAAGGACACTTCTGCGGCTCAAGGACCCGCCATTCATAGAGGAAATTGTAACAAAATCTCTTTGGCACGTTCAGTCTAAATAGAGCCATTTCATACGGAACGAAAATGTATAGAACCAGTTGCTTATAAAAAAATAATCTAGCGCCACTGGTTTTTTCTTTATTAACTGAAATCATATCTTTTTGATTTTAGTAGATGGCTTTCTGTAACAAGTTATTTTGGCCTAAAGAGCTCTTATACATACAAATGTGATCATTTGAATATTGTTAAACGTTTAATTATAAAAGTGAGTTTATAACCAGGTCTAGCCTCGTTATATTAAGTGTCACTCAAATCTCTTTAGTTCATTTTTGCATCGCATTTACGTCTGGAAAATGCACTCTTTGAACTGTAGAGATTACTCGAAAGCCTACGAAGGATAAAAAGGAATTTCTTTTATGGCAAGTCGCAAGACGTAGCCCTTCAGCAAAACGTCATCAACTTCATAAAACATAGCTTTTAAATATAAAAGGGTACAACTTTTCTTTTATTTATATCTACGACAACATCATTTCTATTATTCTCGTAAATTTTTACATTTTTAAATAAAATACTAGTATATTATTATAATAAAACGAAACAGATTTTGTTTCTATAACGCACTATCTAGATATAACGTCATATTATCGTAAAACGGAGCGAATACACACATTAAAATAAAAATAAAATTTTTAACATAAAATAAAGTTTTCAACAAATTTCATTTAATGAAAACTTGTCGAAAACTAAGCAGAAAAAAAATAAAAATCATCAGAAAAACAGCGAAATTAGGTTCGAGAAAGGCACCCCACAATGCTTTCTCTAAAACCGATCAGCCCACTACCGAATATATTCAGCTCCGGATAAGCTGTGTTCAATTTGTTAAAATCATGAACAATTTGAACGAGAGGTGCCTGAACTCCTAGGTTGGTTTTGGCAGAAGGAATTTGGAAGATATTGTTGATTTTAAACGTAGGGAATGAGTAAGGGACGACAATTTTGATATCCTGTAAGAGGTCACTGCTTTGTATATGGTTATTGAGCAATTTATGCAAGAAGGTAACACCAGCTAGAGTTCTCCGATTGTACAGAGATAACATATTAATTTTTTTAAGTTGCTGATGGTAGATGGGTGTCTATGTGAAAATCCTCTGCTTATGAAAGCTAGGTGTCGCGTAAAAGATCTTTGAATGCTTTCAACGCGTTGCAAATGGATCGTATATAGTGGATTTCATATAATACTGCCAAACTCAACATGAACCCGAGCGTTCGAAAGTTAATAATATATCCATCTATTATCATCTAGTTATCTATCTACTTGCAATATAGTTTTTTAATAAAATTAAACACTGTCTACTTTTTATCACACATTATGATTATGCTTAAAGCATTATTATAATGCACCCTACAAATAAAAAATATTTGAATGTACAAATCCATTGGTACTAAAGGAAATGATTTTAAATTGTGTGCTAAAGTGAATTCGATGAGAAGAACTGGCAATAAACTCTCTGTCACTCTTTTATTATTAATACATTCATTATAAAATGTTTTTATTATTACATTAATTTTTCCCGAAAGGATAGGCAGAGACGACAGATCTCCACTTGCTACAATCCTGACATACCAATCTTGCTTCATACACTCTCATGAAGCAACGCAATTCACCATGCATGCTTGTAGACACTTTTAGCTTGTAAGGGACATTCTAGTACATTAATCTATAAATTTTTAAAATCTTCTCTTTGTGAATGGTA